AGAGACACACACACACAGACATATAAATACACAGACACACAAACATACACACAGACTCACATACAGACACACATGGACACACACATAGATACACACAGAGACATATACAGACACACACACACACCCATATACAGAGACACACACACATAGACACACACATAGATACACATATACACACACACATTTATATCTAGATTCTGCATCTGGGAAAATGTGCTATTTATCTTCCTGAATCTGGATTATTTTGCTTAATGTAATGGTTTCTAAAACTATCCATTTTTCTCCAAATGTCATGATTTCATTTTTCTTTACAGTAGAATGAAACTCCACTGTGTATCTGTATCACAACTTCCTTATCCGTTTATCTGTTGATGGACACTTAGTTTTGTTCCATATCTTGGCTGTTGTAAACAGTGCACTAAGTATGGATGTTCAGGTGTCTTTGTGATAGGTTGACTTTTGATTATATATACTGGAGTGGTGTAGCAGGATCGTATGGCAGTCTTACTTTAGTTTTTGAGGGTCCTCCATACTGATTTATGTCATGGCTGCACTAGTTTATATCCTCACTAACAGTGTATCTTTTTTTTTTCTGTATCATTGGTTGTTTTCTTGACGATAGCCACCTAAGGTTAAAGGGAATCTCAAAGCATTTCCCTGATGCCTAAGCCCACTGAACACTTTTTCCAAATAGTTATTGGCCATTTGTATTTTTCCATTTGAGAACTGTCTATTTAATTCATTAGCTTTTTTTTTTTTTAATTTGGATGGTGTCTTAGTTAGGGTTGCTATTGCTGTAATGAGACACCATGACCAAAAGAAATTTGGGGAGGAAAGGGTTTATATGGCTTACATATCCCGAATCACAGTTCACTGAGGGAAGTCAAGGCAGAAACTCAAGCTAGGTGGGAGCCTGGAGGCAGAAGCTGATGTAGAGACCATGGAGGAGTGCTGTTTCTCATGGCTTGCTCAACCTGCTTTCTTATTGGACCACTGGCCCAAAGTGACCCCACCCACAATGGGCTGAGCCCTCCCGTCAATCACTAATTAAGAAAATGCTCTATAGGCTTGCCTACAGCCTTATCTTATGAAGGAATCTTCTCAGTTGAGGTTCCTTCCTCTCAGATGACTATAGTTCGTGTCAAGTTGACATAAAGCTAACCAGCACAGATGATTTTGGTTTTTAATATTTAATTCTTAATAGTTTTTCATATATGCTAGACCTTAATTCCCCATGGAATTTATTGTTGGCAAAGACTTTTTTTCCCATTCTGTAGGCTGCCTCTTCACTTTGCTGATTATATCACTTTTTGTGTGGACCCCATTTGTCAATTTTGGGGTTTATTTCCTGTAGTTCTTTTCAGAAAGTCCTTGTTTACGCTGATTTCTTCGAGTGTTTTAACCAATGTTTTATTACAACATTTCAGGTTTTACATTAAAATATTTGATCCATTTTTATTACATTTATTTATTTATTTATTTATTATTGTGCATGGTGAAAGATGTACATGATGAGAGATATGGATCTAATTTCACTTCTTTTTTAAAAATGGATTTTTTTTTATTCTATGTGTGTGAGTGTTTTGCTCATATGTATGTCCATGCACCATGTGCATGCCTGGTGCCTGTGGAGGTCAGAAAGGGATACTGGATGCCCTGGAACTGGAGTTATGAATGGTTGTGAGCCACTATGTGGGTGGAGGGAATCACAACTGGGTCCCCTGTAAGAGCAACGAGTGATCTTAACCACTGAGCCCTCTCTGCAGCCCCCCACCCTGGTTTGATTCTTGCTGTATGTGACTATCCAAGTTCTCAAGCCCCATTTGTTGAAGCGGCTGTATTTTCTAACATGTTTCTGATGCCTTTGCCAAATATTTTTTTTTTTTTTTTTTTTTTTTTTGGTTTTTCGAGAGACAGGGTTTCTCTGTGTAGCTTTGCGCCTTTCCTGGGACTCACTTGGTAGCCCCAGGCTGGCCTCGAACTCACAGAGATCCGCCTGGCTCTGCCTCCCGAGTGCTGGGATTAAAGGCGTGCGCCCCACGCCACCGCCCGGCTGCCTTTGCCAAATATTAAGTGACTGTAGCTGTGTGGGATCCTCTCTGGTTTCCCGTTCTATCACATGGTTCTGTGTGTCTGGGTTTTTGCTGGTATCATGTTGTTTTCGTTACTATGGCAAACATAATTAGATAAATTCATGAAAGGTAAAATAAACACTAAGGTTAGAAGTACCACCAAGTAAAAATATTAGCAAAAAGTAAAGTATAAAGAAAAAAGGGGGTAGAGCACAAGGATCCAAAAATTAGAAAATAAATATTAGAATGATTTTATTTTTGGATCTTGGAGGCTGCCAGATGTTCTGGACTTCTGTATTCCTGCAATTTATGCTGCAGTTGCAGCTGTATCCCAGCATCCCATGTCTGCCCGAGCGATCTTCATTTTACTAGCTCCTCCCCACTTTTTTTTTTTCCCCGTGCCAGGGGCCTCCGCAGACCACACTTAGCTTTCTAGCGTGTAGGCCGAGTAGCTTCCCCACAATTCTGGGATCTCCTCACTTTGAATCCCCTGAGATGGCTGGCGTTCTGAGGGTGTCTCCAAAATGTGTTGGGAGCACAAGAGACAGCCACAAGGATGAGATCTGAACAGATGGATCTGTTCTTAAGCTTTCAGAACACAGTCAACACTCATCACCCTGCCCTGTGGGTGTCTAGGATGCTGGAGCTTCAGAGTTCTTGGACCCTATAGCCGCGAGTCCGATGGCTGGTGGGTGGTTCTACTTTGACGCTAGGATCAGGCCTATCCAACTCTAAGTTATTCTCAGCTGATGAGGCCTGTTGCCAGGCACTAAGGGTAGACCTACTTTCCTTGTATACTCCACTGCCTGGACTGAGCCTCCTCTTGCCCACACTTTTCTGGTTTTTAACATCTGGTTTCCTGTCTTCCACATTTGCCTCTTAGAACTCTCTCTCTCTCTCTCTCTCTCTCTCTCTCTCTCTCTCTCTCTCTCTCTCTCTCTCTCTCTCTCTCTCTCTCTGTCTCTCTGTCTCTGTCTCTGTCTCTCTGTCTCTGTCTCTCTGTCTCTGTCTCTGTCTCTGTCTCTCTCTCGGCTTGTAGCAGGTTAAAGTCTCTCTTCCCGATTGCTGATCATCCCCTGTTCTTGGGTTCCCAGAGCAGCTAAGTTTTCAACAATAGTTTCTTCTCAAGATGGTGCCCCACCACAATCCTCCCAGCTTTCTCTGCTTTCTACCTCAACAGCATCTAGAGCTGTATCTGTGGCTTTCCAGAGCTCTGGGCTTACCCCGTGGGTAGGACGCCAGTCTCTCTTCACCAGGCCAAATGGCTTGTGTTTTAGATGCAGCCTTTGTCTCTGTTTTCCCTCCAGTGGATCACGTGGCTGGAGCTGTGCTCAGCTGTACTGTCTTCCTTTGGATGCTAGCCCGTTTCTCTGCACTTTTCAGCTTTTTGCTCACTCCCTTTGTCAATTTCCAACAGATTTTCCTCTTTCTCTCTTGGAATAGGGTATATTTTTTTCCTTATCCTGACATTTTCTTTCTCTGGGTCACATGGAGACAGCCTCTAGTCCACCATCTTCACTGGGTGCCCTCTTCTGAGGCTTTGAAGTATGTCCTACTGGTCACTAAAGACGTTTAAATCTGCACATCAACTGTTGAGTTGTTATTTCCGCCATTTTGTTTTTACTAGATGTAGTTTGAAATTCTCTTAAAAGGTCTCCTTTAGTTTATAACTTCCATCTGTTTTCACTTTTAATTTCTGTTTATTTCTTAAAGAAACTGCATTATTTGTCCCATCAAGCTTCTCAGGGTCTTCACTTTACTGACTGTACCCATATTGGGCCATTCAGTATTTCCCAAGTCCTCAGTGTTTCTTATAAGCAGTACTTAGAGAGTTCATAATTTTCCAAAAGTAGGTCAAATTTTGGTGCTGTCTTCTAGGTAATAGAAAAGGTTTGAGGCTTCTTGGTTGTTAGACCTTATTGTACATCATATTCTAATTTTGTAATTCCCTCTTCATTGATTAGATAGAACACACATAAAGAGGAATTTTCTTTGCTTGACTAGTTCCTCTGAAAAATCATTTGTATAGAAACGACAGGACAGCTGTCTGGTGTCTCCCTTTACTTGCAAGTTCTGAAAGTAATAAATTGCATGTCTAAGGGTATTGCTCAGTTCTTAGTTTTTAGTTTCATGAGGTCCTTAATTTTACCCTTTCCAATTGTATAAAATATATAATAGTTCCAAGGTCAAACCTATAAATAGAAATATATTTGAAGACATCTAACACAGCTCCATCTCTTTTGTCCTGTTTATCCTTTATATATTATAGGTAACTTTTTTCTATTGGCTTTTATTGATTCTTTCATTAAAAATATATCCGGCCGGGCGGTGGTGGCGCACGCCTTTAATCCCAGCACTCAGGAGGCAGAGCCAGGTGGATCTCTGTGAGTTCGAGGCCAGCCTGGGCTACCAAGTGAGTTCCAGGACAGGCACAAAGCTACACAGAGAAACCCTGTCTTGAAAAACCAAAAAAAAAAAAAAAAAAAAAAGAAAAAATATATCCCTCTACTTTTTAGATAACTGGTAGCAAATAATAGACTTTCCTACCTCAAGTCTTATCTTAAAAACACACATTTCAAAGTCTGATGAAATAGCATATTTATATGAACCAATGAGAAGGGATGGGAAATCAGTCTGGTGAACTACTTCACAGAATCAAGCAGTTTCTTAGCTTAATTACATCTTTTTCTATGTATTTCATTTAGCCAGTGTTGGATCTATACGGTGTCTGTGAATATAAACAAACAGTACGTCTGTTGAACTTAACAATTATGATTTTCTTCTCCATTTGTCTTGGGGGCATTGATGAGACATGATTCTAGTTTTAAGCAAGTGGGTATGGAGGTAGAGGCTTCCCTGGTAATTCTTGAGAAGTACTTTTGTTATACACATTCCATAGTTGAGTATGTGTTCTCTTCTCTTCTCCAGTTACAGGATTTGATCTGTGGGGCGCAGTGGTGGCAACTGGGGTGGTCTGCACTTTCTACTGCACAATGGTATGTGAAGAGTGTCATTTCCCTTTTACTCTACTCACTTTGCAAAACTGGAATTTCAAGTAGTCATGTGCTGCCGACTGACTGCTCATACTTACTCTTTTTCTCTGGGCTTCTCACAGTTCAACATTTTTGTAAGGAACATTTGGTTCTTAGATATGGCTTACAATTTTCCTTTCATCTGAACCATGGCACAGGTCCCTGTTTTTATCTCTTGATTCCTTATTATAGTTTCTAAAACATTATAGATGTGCTTATATAATACTTCAGCATAGAGACTTGTGATAATGGTCTATTAACTATAAACAGAGGTGACAAAATGTGCAACAACCATCAAGACATGATGCTGCTTTATTGTGGAGGCAGGCTATGTACAGCAATGCAAATTTATATGATTTTTGATAGTTTCTATATTAACCTTTTATTTTGCTTGATCTTCTAGGAAACAAGATCCTTACATAGAGCCTGTTTAAACCCAGGCCACAGAGGCTGAAGAGAAATATTTGTGACTTTTATAACTTAACTCTGAATTGTCTTTCCAACATTCTCCTCACCCCACTTCCCTTCTGTCCAAAGTGTCTATCTGGCCACATTCAGGAGACCATGTATAGCTTTCTTCTCTTCTGCTTTTCCCCAGGCTGTTTTCTGGCCTGGCAGGAACTTACATCTTTGCCTCTGCCTATGCTTGAGGGATAGGTTAAATATTTTCTTCTTTATAAACATTCTTTCAGGATGACCATCTCCTTTGAGTGACCTTTTTGACCAAGCTCCATGTGTCATCATTTTGTTTGGTATAGTACATTCACATTTAGATAGATATATAATCACATCTCATAGAAGTATTAATCCTAATACACTTTCTTCTCAAAGGGTGGTCTTAAAGCAGTTGTCTGGACAGATGTTTTTCAAGTTGGGATCATGGTGGCTGGATTTGCATCCGTGATTATACAGGCAGCAATAACTCAAGGTGGGATCAATACAGTTTTAAGTGATGCCTCCAATGGTGGAAGATTAAACTTCTGGAAGTAAGTTGCTGTTTACCTTTTGGTTAATAGAATGTATCTTTTGTTTTCTTTGTAAGAAATAGTTTTACTGGAACGGTAAGTTTGTACTGGAAAATAAATAAGTCACTAAGGGGGGGGGGTCTGTAAAATTAAAGTTGGCAAGTAAATGTCTGAGAAGGTTTTGCCAGTTTTGAGGGGTTAAAGCAAACTGATGCCAGTGGGTTGTATAGTATTATGATGATTCTTTCTCCATAGAAGGACATTAGAGCAAAAAACGTATTTTCTTTCAGAGGTTAGAGTCTGGAACAGGTTGAAAGTAGGGTAGGAAAAAATGGTGAAAGGTAAGCAAGACTCCCAAAGAGACAAACACTGAAAGACGGAGATTTCATTTGGAGAATGCTTTATTTTAACCAACACTGAGAAGGTATCTTGATATCATTCTAGCAATATATAGCATGGTAAAGTAGCATATTGCTGAATATCTCATGTATGCATCTCTTTATGTTATTTCCTAAAAACTGATCAGAGCCAGGTGGTGGTGGTGCACACCTTTAATCCCAGCACTTGGGAGGCAGAAGCAGGTGGATCTCTGGTGAGTTCGAGGCCAGCCTGGTCTACAGAGTGACTTCTAGGACAGCCAGGGCTACACAGAGAAATACTGTTTTGAAAAACCAAAATAAATAAATAAATAAATAAATAAATAATTTTTTAAGATAAAAAATAAATAAAACTGACTGGAAAAGTTATGACTGATGTTTCACGTGATAGCCTGACATAGGATAAACATGTCTAAAACAACGGAAAACCTAGATAGTCCATCCAAAGCTTATCAGACAATTTTAGAGAATCATGAAAACACCTTTCCCTTGGTTCAACATTGTCACCTTGATGCACCGTGTTCAATGTGGAAAGAAGGTCATTTTGACCTGGGCCATATTCTCTTCTGTTTAAATAGTCCTGAGCTGAGATTGGAAATCTGCAATCACCAGTGGGAAAGAAACAAACAAATAAGCAAACAAACAAAACACTTAGATGATTTTTTTAAAGATGGCTCTTTTGTGTCTTTTCAAATAGTCCTCTTCTTTTGAGAAAGGCTTTTCCAGAAACCAAACAGCACCACCCTATTCACTTGGAGGAATGCATGTCAGGGAATCACCTTCAACTGTTTTCAATACTTGTTTCTCTTTTTACTTCAAGATTCAGATATGAATCTTGAGCGCTCCCATTTGGACTGCCTTTGGCTATGGTTCCTTCCATGGCTAGGGCAGAACAGGAAGATACTTTTATTAGATATTTACTCAGACTAGTTAATGAAGAAAGCATAGTTTCTCCAAAACAAAGCCACATTGATTTTACCAGGAGAGGGGAAATGGATCAGAGGAGCTGGAAATGACCAATGGTTGTGTAGAAAATATTGATTATGCTCAGTCTTTTCCAAGATACCCAGGCTGAGGAGATGGCACATGAAGTTAATCACTTTTCTGCAGCGTAACTGTCACTATATGCAGAGGAGATATATACATATACATATATGTATATATGTATATATATATATATATATCCTCATACATCAATAAGAGATCCCTTAAAATAAAAGATAGATACTTTAATAACCATAACTTTGAAGACTGCTAACTACTAAATGGTAATAAAAAGGCCCGTTGTGCTTTAGACTTTTCAAGAATGTTCCCTATTATCCTGAAATGTGTTGAGATGTAATTGGCACACTATCTTCTCTGCCTGGGAAAAATGAAAAGAACTAAAATCTCCAAATTGTGTTTTTCTATCCCGTCTTAGATCCTTCAAGTAGTTCAATGAATCTTTTTGACTCTTTTTTTTTGGTTAATTGGAGATAACTCTCAAGATAGTATTTGGGCTTGTGTGCCTGCCATGAAGTGGTTTTAAACTGTTAGCATTTGCACATGGAATTCTAAGAAAGCATAGTGATAATGACGTAATATTTTTACCAAGTATATACTCATAGAGTGTATTGACCTCTTAAGTTTAATTATGACCAGACATGTGCTAGAAGAGGAATTTTGTTCCCACAGTGTGCTAAATTGCATTTACTTTGGTATGACATCTATTTACATGGTACACTTTGAATCCCCTCCCCCCAGTATAGCATGGCCAATTAGTTCCTAACATTATGGGAGAAAATATATCTAAATGCTCAAAGTGATAAGAACATGTATTTTCTCCTAATCCCATCTATAATATCCTAATATCTGGAAATATAATTGTTTACTTAATTAAATTTAAATAAGAAATATTTGTGTTTTGACATGAATTTGGACATCTTTATGTAAGTCTGTGAGTGTATGTGCTTGCATCTCAAAGTATACTAGGAGTATTTTCTTTGCTCTCTGGCAAACAATTTGTATTTTCTTTCCTGTTCTTTTCATTCAGTTTTAATCCTAGCCCTTTGCAAAGACACACATTCTGGACAATTATCATCGGAGGGACTTTCACCTGGACCACCATCTACGGTATCAACCAGTCCCAAGTACAGAGATACATTTCCTGTAAAAACAGACTCCATGCAAAACTGTAAGCCTAACTATGGCATATGAATCATTAATAACTGTCATTGCTCTTATGGAAATGCTTCCATAGTCAACTTTAGTTCAATCTTAAGTTTTTTGTATCATGAAACTCCAAAAATAAATGATGAACCAAAGGACCAAGGTGGGCTGGTGTGTGTCTATAGTTGAGCACAGAGTGGTACTAGATGTTTTCAATCAAGTATTTGAAAATATTTCTATGAATTAGTAAGTAAGAGCCCTCATCAATAAAATAAATGTCTCAAGAACCTATGGAAGTTAAAAAGTTATAAAGGAGAGCTCAGTGGAAGAATGATTATGAAATTTGCTAGAGCTCCACAAAACAACTTTATATATAACTTTTATCATGAGGAAATTTAACATCATATTAGAAAAGTATATGCAATCTGGAAACAGTGAAATGACACTGGACAGAAGCGTAAGTTCCTCAAAACAATATAAAAGTGATTATTCAAGAGTTAATATAGTAGCATGCATTGCATTATCAGCCTCAATCCTGGATTATAGTACCTTCTAACTTGCTACTTGGACAGCATTGTACAAATTACTTAGTTTCACTGAGCTTCAGATTTAAATTTGCAAATGAGTACAGGAAATACTATGACTACATGAAAAGTGTGGAAGAGTACTGTGTTGGGCAGTCACATGTAAATGTTCATTTCTGCTGTCACTGATGGGATGTGACCAGAGAACTAATGGGTGAGAGAGAATGTTATTTAGGAGGAGAAACCCGTTTCGGGAATACAAGTTGTGTTTCTTGTCCTTAATGGGTTGTCTTAGAAACTATGGAAGAACTTTAGTGGATTGATATGTAGATGCTGAATCATGTTTATCAGGTTATAATTAAACTATTTTTTTTAAAGGAAAATGAGCCAGTTACTGCCCTAGTGCCTATTAAAATCCTTATTTTATGGCAAGAGGACTCAGTGTATTATAATTAGATACTACTATAAAGCCATGGGTGCCTGTGGATTTTAAGTAGGAGGACACATTCACTGAGAAACAGCATCTACCTCAAGGATTTTTAGATACATTGTTGATTGACATCAAAGAGGACAGTCAGACTAAAAATCATCTTTGAGAATCAAAACATTCACTTATTTATTAATTTATTAAGTATAATCATGACATTATTTCTTGTTCTTGTAACAGTTTTCTTAGTCTTTGGGATAGAAAGTACAGCTGTTACTTGCCCATCCTCTCTTTTAGGTCTCTCTACATCAACCTTGTGGGCCTCTGGGTGATCCTCACTTGCTCTGTGTTCTGTGGGCTTGCCCTGTACTCCAGATACCATGACTGTGATCCCTGGACATCTAAGAAAGTGTCAGAAGTTGACCAGGTTTGGAACCACATCTTTCTCATGGGTAATGATGGCATTACAAAGCATTTGTGGTACCAGGAAGAAAAGCTCTTGTTCTTGAAGAAACCCAGCAAGTGGGCACAACACAACTAAACACCTTCCACTTCTATAAAGCATTTGGCAAAAACATTGTAGTACATAGAGCACGTGTGAAGATTTCTGTATCTGAAACTAAATTGTTCAAATACCTGGAGAAATTTCAAGCCAGGTTTTGGATACAAAAAACTCGGGGTTGGAAGTAAAAAAAGTAAACTCAGTTAATAGAAACTATACACAAAACACGTACCATAGAAGTTTGTGGATATTGTTAGAGCACTCACTTCAAACAGTCTTCCAGTTTTAATTTATTTTAAAATTTTACATTTACCTATTTTATTTTATGTGTGTGAGTATTTTTTTTTTTTTTTTTTTGGTTTTTCGAGACAGGGTTTCTTTGTGTAGCTTTGCGCCTTTCCTGGAACTCACTTGGTAGCCCAGGCTGGCCTCGAACTCACAGAGATCCGCCTGGCTCTGCCTCCTGAGTGCTGGGATTAAAGGCGTGTGCCACCACCGCCCGGCGTGTGAGAGTATTTTTACCCATATGTATGTCTGTGTACCACATGCTTGCCCAGTGCCAAGCAGAGGTCAGAAAAGGGAGACAAATTCCTTGGAACTCGAATTACTGATGACTGTGAACTGCCATGTAGGTGCTAGGAACAGCATCTGGGTCCTCTGCAAGTACTCTTAACCTCTGAGCCATCTCTTCAGCCCCCATCTTCCAGTTTTTAAACGTAAAAGCAGACTGAAAAGGGAACAGAGTTTGCATCCTGTGCACTGAGATTCCGTGTCTAGAGTCTTAACATGCTTGATTTCAGTTCCACAACACTGTAATCCCAGTTTCATAGGTAGCATAATGAATCTCAGGAGTTGTTTGCTTGTTTGTTTTGTTTTCAAGACGGGATCTTACTATGTAGCTCTTGCTATCCTGGAACTCACTCTGGAGACCAGGCTTGTCTCAAAATCACAGAGATCCACCTGCCTTTGCCCGCAAAGTGCTGGAATAAAAACAGTGTGCCACTAGGCCAGACTCAGTGAGGGTTTTGACTGGCACAAGGTCACATTACTAATAAACAGAATTACAGTGAGAGTTCACTGAGTCTTTTCAATAGGCCAGACACAAATAAATGAGTATGCTTTATCTAATAAATAAATAAATATGCTTTATTTAAAGTCTAATTTTTACTTTTCACAGTTAGACTAGGAAGCAGCATATATCTTTTTTTTTCCTTTAAGAAACCAAGGTACACCTTGCCTTGGAGAGGTGGAATGGGGGTTGGTTTTGGGGGGAAGGCTGGAGGGTGGGAGGAGAGGGGGATCTGTGGTTGGTATATAAAATGAATAGAAAATTTCTTAATAATAAAAATTAAAAAATGAGCTAATCTGTAATTATCATGACAGTAAAAAAAAAAAAAAGAAAAGAAAAGAAACCAAGGTACAGTGAGGAGTTGGGTAAGCATGGACAGTTGGGACCATGCTTCAGACCTAGGCTCTGCCATTAGAGCTCCTGGGGGCTCTGTAGCATGCACGTTCTTGTAAACTTGCTGCACAGCTCAAGCTTAGTGTGTCCTGACTCCGGGAGCCTGGGCTCCTGTGAAGTCTACTTCCTAAAACCTGCTTGCTGCCCAAGTGCCTGGGGCCTCAGAGTGAAAATGGGCAGAATTCACACTGGTGCAAATGTAACACCTCCCCCCGCCCCCGCCCCCCATGTAACTGTGGGATTAGGAAATGAGAAGATTATTTTAGATTATTTTTGAAATTTATTCTTTGAGAATTTGAACAATGCATTTTGATTTCATTTTACACATTTGGGATTATGTAGGCTATCTGTTATTCTTTTTGGAAGAATATGAAATTGGCTAGGTATTAATTTTGTTTAATAACAACTAACACTTGGGTGTAAATTTTGGAATTTTTCAGCTTATGCCTTACTTGGTCCTGGACATTTTGCGAAATTACCCTGGAGTTCCTGGACTTTTTGTGGCCTGTGCTTACAGTGGGACATTAAGGTAGAAAGCTGTGATTCTGTGAGGGTGTCATTTCCTGTAAGGACTTATGTATGTTTTACTGTCATGGCAGCTGATGCATGAGAAAACAACTTGCAGGAAGAAATTACATATTTTAGATCATGATTCCAGAGGATTCAACCCATACTCACCTGGCTCTAGGCATTTTGACAAATCATTCTGGTGGTAGGAGCAGGCATTGGAAGAACTTTTTCATGGAAGAGGCCAGAGTAAGATAGAGTCCCCAGTGGTATACTGACAGTGACCCATTTCATCCAAGCAGGCTCTACCCACTACCTATCTACCCTCCTCAATAATGCTATCATGGTGCACCCCATCAAAGTTCATTTTGACCTGGAAATGTCATCAAGATAAATTCAGAGATGTGTTTCACTAATCCCCTAGGCATTTCCCTATCTAATCAAGTTGATAGTTAAGATTAACCATCAGAGTATCTCTCTTGTCTTATTGGTTATTTTGAGAGGTAAACATGAATTCTGGACATGGTCACAAATGGCCTAAAGTAGGCAAACTGCTCCATTCACCCTTCTGTTGGTTGACTGCCTATGGGATCATTCTGCCATCATCTGGCTCTACTCTTGACTAGGTCTCTGCTTCCTACCACAGCATTGCATACTCAATATGGTCATGGTGATGATGATCCTTGATGGTGGCTTTAATATTTGCTGAGTATATTAGTGGCTTCTGTCTTGGTTTAGAACATGTGTGAGGCTAAATCATTGTAACCTGCAAAACCAGACTCAAATCTCCTAATTATGTGTGTTGAATACTGTACATCTAAATATCTTCATACACAAAGAAACTATATCTTAAAGTTGTTATGTGCTAATCAGAGTAATATGTGAAAATTCATTTTATAGATACAGAAGACTAGCTGGGAAATAATCTTTTATCTCTTAAACTTTCTCTCCTACTGTCCAATCTATCTATGTTGCCTGACTCATTCATGAAAGATAATAGCTTCCTGGAAGAGGGTGCGATGATCATTAAAAATAAAAGAACACGGTTCTGTTTAAATTGTTTTATTATTTTGTGTCCATGGGTGTTTTGCCTACATGCACGTATGTCTACGCACCACATGCATGCAGTGCCCTCGAGTTCAGAAGAGGGCATCCAGTCCCCTGAGACTTGAGTTACAAATGGCTGTGAGTCAGCTACTGCAGGTGCTGGGGATCAAACCCAGGACCTCTGGAAGAGCAGCTTGTGCTCTTCAACACGGAGCCATCTCTCCAGCACCATCTGCTTCTATTTTAGAAGTGTCAACTTGCTTTCTTCTTCCTCATTCTCACTAAAAGTACCATTCAAATTAACATGTCATAAATGAATTTTTTTTCTTCTCTTGTAGCACAGTGTCCTCCAGCATCAATGCCTTAGCTGCGGTGACCGTGGAAGATCTCATCAAACCTCACTTCAAGTCACTGTCAGAGAAGTCTCTGTCTTGGATTTCCCAAGGAATGAGTGCGTTTCCATGTTTCCTTTCTCATGATTCCATTTGAGAGACACTTTAGCTTTGCTTTGGAGACACTAGAAATTGTCCTCTGAAGAAGCATAAGTACCTCATAGTATGAATACATGTCCAGGATCATGCGCTTACAATGGTATAGGGATGATCATATCTATCAAGAAGAGTTGAGCACGAATTCAAACATTTATGATGGCAGTGGTGGTGCACATTTGTAACCCTGACCCTCAGGAGGCTGAGGAAGAAGAATCTTGAGTTCATGGGTAGCTGGGTTTCGTCTCAAAAAGAAAAAAAAAAAACTATCTAATCGTCAGAGAGCCTTGAAGGCCAATGCCCCAGCATCCTCTTTGGTTCTCCTCGATGATAATTACTATTAGTGATAAGACTCTCATTCTCCCTCTCACTCAAGTTTGAAGCAGGGTTTTTCTATGCAGCTTGGTCTGGTTTTGAACTCATGATCCTCCTGCCTCATCTTCCCGAGTGCTGAGATTACAGGTGGCCTGACTTTCATTCACTTTGAAGGGTTCTATGCTATTATTACACTGAGATAATATAATCAAGGGCATCATAGACAATGTGACAATCTACTTGACTTTGCATTAATTATGGGCACCCAAACCCAAAATGGTAACCATTCACAGCTTATCAAATGGAGAAGAATTAAGCTAAATCACTGAAAATGATATTTATATTTATATTGAGCCCTATAGACATTATTACAACAAAATCACTTTTAAAAAAAGGTGTTTCTTTTCTTTCAGTTGGGATCAGATAATTTACATAACATTCTTAACAAAAGTATGAGTGCTGGGACAAAGAAGGTGGTACCCACTGCAGAGGGAATGTGCTAATTTTATGATAAGAAATAGCTCATCTGTTCTTCTTCTTTTTTTAATATTGAGCACGGAAAACTATATTGGTCAATTGCTGTTAATTTTTTTTTCCAAATTTTTTTTTAAACAAAATGCTTTAGGAGGTAGTTTTTCTTAATTTTAAAAGCAGTACATTTTTCTGAAGGAAAAGGAGGAGAAGTAGATCTGGGGGAGAGGGAAGATGGGGGCTTGAAAGAGTGGAGGGAGGGGAAACTAGGATTGGGATGTAATGTACGAGAGAACGATGATGATGATGATGATGATAATGAAATAAAGAAAATGAAGGTGAAAAGAAAAAAAAACCCTACCATTTACCAGCCAGGGGTGTGTTGAGAACTTCTGTAAAGCAGTTTGGGGAAGGGAACGTGGAATATGATATGAATTAAAGTGACCTTTCTGTGCTAGTTTAACTGGGAAGACGGGGGTATTGCTGCCAGAGATTATGAGAGGGCTAAGGCACCCAAACCACGGTTGGTGTGGGTTACCAGTTCCCAGAACAAAGGAACACTGAGAGTCAGAAGGCTCCGATTCTGGTGTTTACTCTCCCTTTCCTCCTCCACATTGTCCCGAGCCAAGTCCTGCACCTCCCTTTATAGACAAATGTTTGTGGGGGATTAAACGAATAACACAATGGTGCTAAGTTTTAAAACCCCTGTAGTTAATTCCAGGGATTCTTTTCTTATATAATCTACTGTTGTGACTAATCCCCAGGCGCAGTATAAGGGCTTTGTTTGTATTCTTTGCACCCTGTTGGTCTTATAGAAAAATGCCTCTTTGCCTTTGTCTTGCTGACTTTAATGTGTGGGTTGTTCTCACCTCAATGGTATTATTCACTTGGCTCAAAGGTGTGGCACTCATTTTATGGAGGACTGTAATCCTCTGGGTCTACACTGGTACACTGTCTTTTATGTTGTCATGTAGGTGTGCTGTATGGAGCACTGTGTATCGGAATGGCTGCTCTGGCGTCACTGATGGGAGCCTTGTTACAGGTAAGAGCTGAGTCTGAAGACTGGTGTCATAACCGTTAAATTATTAGTGTAAATGTTCATGACACCACCTTCACACTTTATATATTTATCTACACTGGGCACAAAGATGACTGCATTATTTTTACATTTTAAAAAAATGTATCTTTCTTCTTTTACGTATGTATGTGTGTGTATGCCTGCTTATCTGCATGGGTACCATGTGTGGGCAGGTGCCCACAGAGGCCACAGGGCCCCAGAAGCCTGGGAGCTTGTGTTAGACACAGTTTTGTTGGCTGTCTGATGTGGGTGTTGGCTATTGAAACTGGACCCTCTGTAAGGTAGTAAGCAACTCTCAACTGCTGAGCCATCGCTCTGGACCCTTATTTTTAATATTTGAAAAATATAGTTTCGGATAATTATAGATTCATATGAAATTAGAACAATGCAGAAGTATCTATATCTCCACAGCAATGCCTTACAGAAACATCTGGGAGTGGTAGCATCTCGACAGGATGCTGTTATAGACAGGATATTGGTGTTGAAACAGTGAAGATGCAGAATGATTTGATCCCCACCAATACTCCCTCCTCTTGCTACTTTTCACAGCCTTGCCTACCTCTCTCAGTCCTCACTCCCCGCACCCATCCCCGGCCTCTGAAAACCTCAAATCTATTCTCCATTCTTGTCATTTTTTTTTCTGTGTTAAGAATGTTACATAAAGAGAGTCAGTGTGATGGCTCAGGTTGCTAAGCCTGGTGACTGAGTTTGTTCCCCCAAATGGTGGGAGGAGAGAACTACCTCCTGGAAGCTTTCCTCACATTTCCACACAGGCACTGTCACACACACACACACATACACACACACACACACACACACACACACGAAATAAAAATGCAATAACTTTTTTAAAGTACTGTTATATAAAGGTGTTGGGGAAGTGGTTCCGTAGGCAGTGTGCTGGCTGTGAAAACGCGAGGACTTGAGTTCAGGTCCCTAGCACCCACATAGAAAAGCTAGATGTGCCTGTCACCCAGATGTGGGGAGGCGGATCCAGGAGACTTGCCAGCCACCTACTCTACCTGGATTGTGAGCTCCAGATTCAGTGAGAGACCCTGTCTCAAAAACACAGGGAAGACCAACTGAAAAAACATCCGATGTTGACTTCTGGCCTCCAGACGCACCCTCACATGCATGTGTGCACCTGCACACACACATGCATGCAGAAGAATGTTCTGTAAATGAGATCTATGGAGATGTAATTCTGAACGGTTTTATTAAATAAGAAACACAGAGCCAAATGCAGAGTTAAAAGCCCCAGAGGTCAGAGAGCAGTAGCTAAGAGCTGAGACCAAGACCACCTTCTTACCACCCACTGCTGCTGCCGTCCTTCCCCTGAGAAAGAGACCTACTTCCTGTGTGTCTGTCTTTTTATTGACTTTCTGTTCTGCCTTCTCATTGGTTGTAAACCCAACCACATGACCTCCTCGTCACTGCCTGTCTATACAGACCTCCAGGTCTTCTATGGTTGGTATTGAGATTAAAGGCATGTGTCTCCATGCTGGCTGTATCCTTGAACACACAGAGATCTGCCTGTCATGTGATCGGGATTAAGGGCGTGTGCTACCACTGCCAGACTTCTGCTAGATGGCTTGCTATTAGCTCTGACCCCCAGGCAACTTTATTTATTAACATACAAATAAAATCACATTTCAGCACAAATAAAATATCACCATAGATCCATTAGTAAGAAACCTTTTCAGTCTTCTTGGTTCTGGCTGTCAAGAGTGAATTTTGACTGGAAGCTGACCTTTTTCATTCTGAGGTGAAATTTTGGACGTCACACTTTCTGTTTCAGCAGCTTCCCCTGACACAGTGTCAGGAGGGCCAGTGGCCTTGCCACCGCTCTGAGTTTAAAGTCCAGTGAACACCTGAGTCGTGTAGGGTGTAGCTATGTAGTATGCTATGAGGCATATAACAGCAATAAGGTTAGTGACAGCTGTCGACTCACTCAGGTGTCTTGCAAGGTTGAGTCCGTGTGTCAGTTGTACTGTAATGCAGCCCGATCCTAGGGATTTCTAATCATGGCCCTCAGGACTTCCGGGAGACAAAGCCGTTTCAACTCACGTGTAAAATCTTCTAAACCTTAGAACGAAGTTTGCCCTTGCCAGGAGATCTTCAACTCCCTTTATGGGAGAAATGGCTGGTAGCTGACCCAGCTGAGTGTAGGTATAGAAAAAGGGGGGAACCACCCCAAATTCCGAGGCTGGTGTCTGGATGGAGACTCTGCTAGTCAGTTGGTCATCTGTCCCTGATTGTATCTGGCTCATGACACCGGCTGGTGCCTCCTAGCAATCACTTACAGCACTACCAGGACAAACAGCTTGAGGCACAGCTGCCCTTCATCTTTGCTGTAAATAAAACAGAAAGTGAGAGGTTGTCCCCAGGGAAGTTAGTTACTAAGACCACACCAACTCCTCAGATATGAAGACTGAAAATTGGATAGCATAAGTAAGTGAGCAAGAGAATTTTGTCATTTCTTTTCAGTTTTAAAGAAAGACTTCAATTTGTTAGTGAAGAATAAACAGAGTAAAAATTATTTTCTGGTCCATTTTTTAAAGGAAGTATATTTTTTTCTTTAAAATTTTTTTCAACAGAAAAACTTTTACTCAGTTTGTTCTTTGACAATTTCGTTCACAAATAATGTGTATTCTGATTATTGTAGCCTTGAATCTCTGTTACTATTCCCTTCTCCTTACAAGTCTCCCCTCTCACATTCATGACTTTTTGTTATTTTGGGTTGTCTTTTTTTTTTTTTTTGGTTGTTGTAAGATTTTTGAGACTAAGTTGAACTGGAATTCTGTGTGTGACCAAGGGTTTGGAATTATGTGCTGAAGCCAGGCTGGCTCCTCAGTGAAGACAGCTGTGGGCTCCACAATTCAAGACCATGACTGCCCCTCTCCGTAAACCCATCAGTAACTGGTTCCCAGCAGGAAGGGTTAGGGGCTCATAAGCTTGTCTCAGATCTTTGACTGTTGACAGGCCCATTGACTCCCACTTAGTTACATTCCCACCAGATTGTTCTGAGAATGCCAAAGACTGCTCTTTATCCATCCACAGAAATTTGTTTGAGATTTGACAGACTTCCAAGTTCAGGTAACTTGTTAACTACTGATCCTCTTCAGAGTCAAGAGGTCAAACATGAACCTTATCATGGCTACAAGATAAATGATAGCCATAGGCCCATCCATGTGACTGTGAGTCATATAGTGCTATAATATAACCCAATCCTGGGAATTCCAGCCTTCTCCCAGGGGTTTCCAGGAACCAGGTCATCTCAGCAGATATAACTTTTAGAAACTATAACTAAATTTACTTTTATCAAACAAACTTTCTTTAGGAAAAAAATTAGCAAGTATCCTGGACTGAATACAGGTATAAAAAAACATAGAAGGATTGTCTGAAGTTTGAGGATGATCCCTTGATAGAGATTCTTAGGATCAGCTGACCAGTGACACTGACATCCATCTGCTCTCTATCTCTTAAGAGGGCAGCCAGAATGAACAATGTATAGAGAGTGTCTTTTTTGCACAATGAACTGGGAGAGAAAATTTTTGCTTTGTTTTTGAGGGCGCTGGTTAGTTTCGACACCCGACATCCCCAAACATGCAAAGTGACTTTCTGCTGATACTGTAGTAGAGGTAGCTGCCTTACTTCCGTGCCTTGGTAACAGCTGTTGTCTACAAGATCTCCTATGTTACTGCCCAGTGCAGGGAGCCTTGCTGCAGGTAGCAATGTTCAGTCTCAGTCCCTCATTGACCTTTGCTGGTATAGGTGTGTGAACGTGCTCTCCGCATTATCTGCACTATGACTGGTGGCTCCTATTGTGACTGGCTTCTCTTTCTTCACCATCTCTGGACTATACAGAGAAATCTTCTAGCAAAACCATCCTAACTTCAAGCCTAACCCCTAACTCCTTGCTGTATCACTAACTAAGGTCTTCTTTTCTGTTTTTTTGGTCTTTCTTTCTTTCTTTCTTTCTTTCTTTCTTTCTTTCTTTCTTTCTTTCTTTCTTTCTTCTTCCTTCCTTCCTTCCTTCCTTCCTTCCTTCCTTCCTTCCTTCCTTCCTTCCTTCCTTCCTTCCTTCCTTCCTTTCTTTCTTTCTTTCTTTCTTTCTTTCTTTCTTTCTTTCTTTCTTTCTTTCTTTCCTCTCTCTCTCTCTCTCTCTCTCTTGTTTTCAACCATTTTGTTTTTATTTTTCAAGACAGGGTTTCTCTGTGTAGCCCTAGCTGTCCTGGAACACCTTTTGTAGAAAAGATTGGCCTTGCACTCACTGAGATCTGCCTGCCTCTGTCTCCCAAGTGCTGGGATTAAAGGTGTGTGCCACCACGCCTAGCCAAGGTCTTTCTTTCTAATAGAATGTTTTCTGAGGCATCTTCCTTATTTCTATAAGCCTGCTCCCAGATCACGTTGTTGTAAATGGCTTCATGGCCATGTGTTATCTTCACACTTAACAGTGAAGTCTAGCTCACATCCTATGACTCTGCTGAGATCAGATCCCCTATCATATCCCTTAGCCCACATCCTTCTCACACACCAGTTCTCTTTCACAGTGTCCACACATTCTCCACTTCACAGTGTAGACTTTTGAAAGAATTCATTTGAATCAACAGTTCAATATGTATCTTCTAACATTTCCTTGGTGTATTCTCTGATTCATTCTTTCTGTTGTGTTTGGTCTCTTGGTGGACACGTCACCATGTTCCCACTCTTTAATGGTTCTTTTTACATTTTAATTGCCATATAAAACTGCATGTTTATGGTGCACAATACCATGCTTTGGTACATGTGTGTATTTTACTACATTCAAATGTGATTAAATATATGTATCTCAGGCCAGGTAGTAGTGGCACATGCCTTTAATCCCAGCACTCGGGAGGCAGAGCCAGGCAGATCTCTGTGAGTTCGAGGTCAGCATGGTCTACAAAGCAAGATCCAGGACAGCCACCAAAACTACACAGAGAAACCCTGTCTCAAAAAACAAAACAATATCTATCTATCTATCTATCTATCTATCTATCTATCTATCTATCTCCTCAAATATTTATCATTTTGTAGTGATGAAAACATTCAAAATCATTTCTCAAAGATTTTTTGAGACATGTAATCCATTGTCACTCTCCATCATCACACTACTGAGCACTAGCCCATCAGAGCGAATTTCCCTTATAAAATTATAACTTAGTACCCATCAACCAACCACTAGCTTTTATCCTGCCCAGTCTTCAAAATTAGACATCATGTTATTGAAATTACTAGGTTATGAGAGCATACATCTTCTTGGAGCATTGTTTGTATTTGCTTATGTTTCATATTGCAAATCCTTTTCAGTCTCATGGCTTTAGTATCTCCATGATCAAAGAAAAGTTTCAATTATCCAAATAGATTTTAAATCTTTCTCTACATTGGATCAATTATTTTAAATCCAATTTTCAATCTAATTACATCCTTATCAGATCAGATCAGGGATGCTCATGAATTCTATCCTTATCTCTGGCCATTTTGCAGTTCTTATTCAGTCTTGTTCAGAGGAATATTTTGAGATCACCAAAGCATAGGAGAGTGTGGTCATTCATCAGAACAAAGCTGAGAAGGGTCTTGATTTATGCACTCACAGAGATGCTCCAATGGTTTCATGACTCTTTGTCTTCTTTACATTGCGATGCCTTTGTGTGTGTATGTGTGTGTGTGTGTGTGTGTGTGTGTGTGTGTGTGTGTGTGTGTGTACATGTGTTGGGGAGGGGTTCTCATGTATGTTTGTGTATAAACCAGAAGCTGGTGTTGGATATCTTCCTCAATTGCTCCCCACCTTATTTTTTGAGACAGGATTTCTCACTGAACCTGGGATTTACTGATTCAGCCAGACGGGCTGACCAGCAAGCCCCATCAACCCTCCTGTCTCTATCTCCTCAACACTGGGATTAAAGGCATGTACTGCCACATCTAGGTTTTACTTGTGCATCAAACTCAGGTGCTTGTGAAGCATTTTATAGACTGAGCTGTCTTCCCAGCCCCTTTGGTAGTTTTTAAAAATAGTTTTTAGTTGTGTATATGTGTGTGTGTGTGTGGGTGAATATGTAGATGTGAGTGTAGGTGCCTATGGAGGCTACAAAAGGGCATCTGATCCCTTTGAGCTGGAGTTGTAGGCAGTTGTGAGCTACCTGGTGTAGGTGCTGGGAACTGAATTCAGGTCTTCTGCAAGAAAAGTAGCACTCTTAACCACTAAGCCATTTCTCTAGCTCTTTGTTGCCTATTTGAGGGTACCTGAGGGACAGACAAGCCAATTGTGGTAGTGCATACCTTTAATCTCAACACTTGGGAGGTAGAAGCAGGAGGATCCCTGTGAGTTCAAGGCCAGCCTTGTCTATATAGTAAGTTCGAGGACAGCCAGGGCTACAAGGTGAGATGGCACTGTCTCAAAACAAACAAACAAACAAACAAACAGACAAACGAACAAACAGACAAAAACCCCAAAGGAACAGAAAACGCTGAAGACAGAGAAACAGAAGTTTCCAGGTGTTAATGATCTTTGCCAATGATAAGACTACCATGAATAAAAATTAGGATTTTTTTTTTTTCTGGAGGAGACTGAATACTTTAATACCTACCCGATGAAATTGCCTGAAACATTTATGCTTGGGTTTGAGATTGCTGATTGTGATTTTGTGTTATTTTTGTAGGCAGCACTCAGCATATTTGGCATGGTTGGTGGACCACTTCTGGGCCTGTTTTCTTTGGGCATCTTAGTCCCCTTTGCCAATTCAATTGTAAGTAGAACTAATGGACAAATCTAAAGGTTACTTTTCCAACTACATCTTTCTTCTCAGCTGTAAAGACATGGTTGGTTTGAGACCTGTCATTAGTTACTTGTCTTGGTGACTGAAATTACTCATTTTGACTTTGATAAAGTATATTGGGGAAGAGCTATGCATTGAGGTCTTGTATATAGGAAGCTAAATGGAAACTGTCGGAACCATGCAGTGCAATTTAAATACTCATAATGTAAATAGACCAACATCTCTTACACATTTAAATTCTTGCCCTTCTTAAAATCAAATGTCTAGGCTGTAAAGAAGGAGGTCAACAGGCTTAGATTTAAAGACTGCATGTAGTCGGAGCACAGCAAAGAGTAGTAAGTTGATCTTTATCACCATGACCACAAAGTTCGTTCTTTTGGTGCTTCAAGCCAGAGCTCCTGTTCATTATTCTAGCCCCGAGGGGTGAAAATAATTGGAATATTTTTCAGAAAGAGGTGATATCTCTGCTATTATATCTAAACATGTCTATGTCTGGAAATACAAAACTGTGTTTGGAATAAATGGAATCCAAATGACTTCTCTGAAAAGCAACAGGAAGTCCATTTCTTCTATAGCTGAAGATCTAGAATGTACATAAGTGATGTGAGACATTTATACCATAACATTGGTTAGGTAAAGAGGGAATGAGGTTAGTGAGTCTCTATGACTCTGGGCAGAGAGACCAGAGATCTATGACAACCATTGTAAGGGAGGAGAGTCAGGTAGGGGGCTTTGATCATTGTGAAACTGGCTTTCTCATGTTAAATCTACCTCAAAGAGAATGACATTATTTTTCTTTGAAACGCACTCTTGTTTTTCAGGGAGCACTCGCTGGTCTGTTGGCTGGATTTGCCATTTCTTTATGGGTAGGAATTGGAGCTCAGCTTTATCCTCCACTTCCTGAGAGAACCTTACCATTATCCCTTGAAACCCACGGCTGTAACATCACACACAATGGGTCAGCCTGGGTATCAACCACAGAAATGCCGTTTTCTACTAGCGCTTTCCAAATCCACAACGTGGAGAGGTATTAAGTTTCATGTTATGTCGTGATGTTGTGTGTGACAAGTAAGGGACTCCAGTTGTTTTGTTTTTGTTTGTTTGCTTTTTGTCTTCTTATAACACTGCTTTTTCCTACTCTGAAGTGGGTAGACCCCTGTGACTTTCCTGTTGTGTTATCTTACAGTATTTTCACACTATAAGGACAACAAGTGACATAGCTGGAGACTCAGTGAGACATCCTGTAGCTGCCTAGACAGGCTTCCAAGCCTTCCAGATTGAGTTTGCATTCTTTTAATTTCCTAATGGTTGATTAGCATTTCTTTTTTTTTTTTGTTTTGTTTTGTTTTGTTTTGTTTTGTTTTTCGAGACAGGGTTTCTCTCTGTAGCTTTGCGCCTTTTCCTGGAACTCACTTGGTAGCCCAGGCTGGCCTTGAACTCACAGAGATCCGCCTGGCTCTGCCTCCCGAGTGCTGGGATTAAAGGCGTGCGCCACCACCGCCCGGCTTGATTAGCATTTCTTGATGGTTTCAATTTTCATTCTCTTATGAGTGATGAAGTTGACCACCCTTTAATACCTTTATTGGGCATTCAGATATCTCCTTTTGTCACTTGCCTTTTGAGAACTCTTCCAATATTTAACAGATTCTGTCTTTTTCTTTCTTATTTATTTAGGAGTTGGTGATATATTCTTTATTCAAAATATGTTTTGAAGATATTTTTTCCTTAATCAATAGGTTTAATTTTCACTTTTTGCCAAGTTTACTTTTTTGTAAGAATTTACTACTTATCTTTGCCTATATCATTAGTTCTTTGTGGTCTTGTTGAAGAAATCATTACCTACTTTGAGGTCATAAAAATGTTCTTCTAAATTATTTATTTGTTCTTTGTTTGCTTGGTTTTTCAAGATAGAGTTTCTTTGTGCAGCCCTGGCTGTCCTGGAACTCTCTTTGTAGACCAGGTTGGCCTTGAACTCAGAGATCCACCTGCCTCTGCCTCCGGAGTGCTGAGATTAAAGATGTGCATCATCATGTCTGGCTATTTCTCTAATTTTTAAATTAAAAGTTTTATTATTAACTATTTACATTTATAAAATGTGATCCATTTGAGGCTGACATGAATGGTGTGATCAAGATTAATTTTTCCCTCATGTAGAATTTCAATAAATCAAGCACCTTTTATTGTTGTCCATCAAGATTTGCTGGTGAGGAAACTAATGTAAATCAAATGGTAGTTTCCTGTGGGGGGTGGAGGTGGTCAGTATTCTACTCTATGTTTTCTGTCTTTGCTCAACATCACACTATCTCAATTTCATTAGTTCATCTCGGCTTGCTTCTGAAATTCTCATTTCCTTGAGCTTTCTGATGCCAACTTGTTTCCACATTTTGTTATTAGCAGGGTGATGAATCTTAATTAAGCTGCTTTATTGAAGCTGAAAGTGACATCCTTGAGTGATGTCATATCTTCCCAATGGTCTTCTCTGATCACACATTGCAGTGTAGGCCTCCCCTCTCTACCCAGTTCATTACATATGGCATTACTCCATCGTTTTTAAGGACTATCCATCATTTGCTTACTGCATACTGCGTATTATGTTTCTCTTTCATTGGATATAAAATTTTTGTGTGGATAGCAATCTTATCTACCTTACTTATGGTTGACTTCAATGATAAGAATCATATTGGGACCATAATGAAGAGTGGAATGAATAAACACTGACACTTAATATTTTTGTGCATGTCAGTCAGCTTTGTGTTACAAAATACCAACTTGATAAAAGAAAATGACATCTGACTCATGGGGTCAGGGAGTTCTGGCCATGATGGCCTAACACTCACACTTTTGAGTCTTGGTGGTACAGTGGATCATGGTGACAGCCTGCAGTGGAGGAGATTGTCCCCCGCCATGGAACTGGAGGCCAGAGAGAAGGGGGAGGGGCTGGGTACCCAAATATCCCCTTCGAGGGACTCCTGCAATGGCCTATTTTCTTCCTACTAGGCTTCATCTCCTAAAAGTTTACCATATCCAATAGCTGGGGATGAAGACCAAGCCATCAATGCATGAGCCTTAAGGGGACACTTTTTCAAACTCTATCAGTTTGCCAACCTAAGAGGCAAGCGAGACATGCTGGGTGTGAGACCAGGGTTTATTTGTGCTAAAGCAAAGATAAGACCTCAGAAAAATAACACAAACTTAGAATAAGTCCCCCTAAAATGGCATTTGAGGGGTCAGGGATTTAAATAGAGTACGAAAAGAAAGTAAGAGTTAATGGAAAATTGTTGCAGTTGCATTGGTCACTGGTCTACAGGGTCAGGAATAGCATAGGTTGTTGATTTGATTACTCATTATTTATGTATTTCAGGTAAGAATTATAAAAAAAAATAAGTAAATAAGGATTTTGATGGGGCTATGTGCTACCCTTGTGTTGTCAGGGAGTCCACAGAAACCTGCCTATGCCAGATTGTAGTGCCCTAGGTGACTGTTGCTTCATACTTTATGATTCTTCTGCGCCAAAGAATTATAGTTCCTTATTCTTACAATATTTAAAGTCCTTTCTCATGTGCATGGTCAAAGTGAAGCCATATTTAAATTCCTGATTTAATAATTAGAGATCAGACCAGTTAATTTGACATTAAAAGTGGCTAAAAATTGAGTTTTTACTTTCAAGATCATGGGTACACACACTTGTTGTTAGGAACATGGTGAATTACTATGGTTACATATATTTTTGGTATCTTTCAGGACTCCGCTGATGGACAACTGGTATTCAGTATCATATCTGTACTTCAGTACTATTGGAACATTGGTAACATTGTTAGTGGGGATACTTGTCAGTTTATCAACAGGTAATTAACCTTTTTTCTGTTCACTTCTAGAAATACAAGCATTTCCTATGTATAATTTATAGCTCTTTATGGCACTTTACTAAGATCCTATTAGTGACTTAAATTAATTTTTAAAATTTTACCCATGGAGTATTTGAGAGCCTAAACTTAAGGCAGAAGAACTTAACCCATCACTATTATAATATTGGTTCTACCATTTAATAGCTACCTGGATTCAGGAAAGGTATGTAACCACTCTACACAGAGCCTTAGCATTGTTATGGGTAAAATGAGGATGATGAAGACATAGATAAAACCAAATCATACATAGTTACTTGTTACACAGTTACATAGTTACTTGTTACAATGAGAGAGCTGTATGCATATCTTGACATCTTTATGCCAGGATGTTTCAATTGTCCAATACAGATTCTTTGTAAATTTCAAAAGTGTACATACATGTAATAGATAATAACTATAATATTTATGTGTTAACATAGTAGAAAGCCTTGGGAAGTGTTCATAAAGATTAAACAAAGTTTTAATAACCAGTTGACAATGCACAGAGTGTAAACTTATCTGGAATGGAGGTTTTATCCTGAGATTTCATTTTGTTCTCATTGTGGGTATTGTCTTGGCCCCTTCCTGTGTTTTTATATCCCACAATTTCTCACTTACATTTGTGCCTAAGTTTATTTTTGAATCAGTTGATATTTTTATACATATGAGTGTTTTACTTGCGTACATGTAATTGCACTGTGTGTTTGCTTGGTGCCTGCAGAGGCCAGAAGAAGGTGCCATATCCTTCCTTACTTCTGAGCACCATGTGGGTGCTGGAAACCAAATCTAGGTCCTTTGCAATAGCAGTCAGCGCTCTTAACTGCGGAACCAGCTCTCCTACCCATATGTTTATCCCTTTAATTGAGTGCATCCGTCCTATATAGCACATTCTTGGAAAGAACAGAGAGGAAAAGAGGTTTTGGAAAATTCACATGTCTAAAAAATCACTGTGCTTAACTGCTAATTTGAGTATAAGTTCCACTCCAAAAAATCTTAATTTCTCCTCTCATTTTGCTGGTTTTGAATCAATGCCAGGCTGCCTGCTAACCTTTCCAAAGGTACATTTTCAGTGACTACCTTGCCCTACGACCCTTTGACCCTGAAGTCTCATACCCATCCATCCTGGGCATGTCCTTTAGGCTATCCTTTTGTAATTTCTTTCTATTTTCTGTCTCATCCTTCTGGAAACTTCTATCAGTCAAATGTTTGCCTCTAAGGACGTTTCCTTTAATTTTCTTGTCTTTTCTTTCCTGCTTTCCATCTCTGTCTTTTAGGTCTAATCTATGAATATTTTTTTCCCAATTACTTTTCCAACAATTCCCAAAGAAGCATTTGATCCAGTTTAAGAATGGTCCATAGGGGAGGAGGGCAGGTAGACTCTTGAAAATATCCAGGTGAGAGATCCTAGTGGCTGGGATTGGGGGTTGGTAGAAGTGCTGGGAATCCTAATCCATGGACCCTCCCATACTCCCTCTCCATATGTATATCCATAGCAGCCAGATCAGGGGAAGGCTGCCTTGCCTTCTTTATCAGTTATTCAGCTATCCCATCATACAAAGTTAGAAGTAGCCTCCATAGAATCTGACTGGCACTGTTGATTTTTGGCATCCAGGTAACACTGCTTTCAATCTTACCAACTTTGGGTTTGGTAACAATAATGTTTGCATCACTTTCCAAAAGGATTGTGTTTTTTCTCATGAAAATATTCACTCAATTGCCTTATTAATCTGTTTGGAGAAGTACAATTTATTTTCACAAATTAGCCAGTTGTTCATATCTGAAATACATCTATACTGTCTCCGTGTATTTCTATCATTGGCTTTTATCACCCACTCCTGCTTTCTCTCCCTTTTAAAGAAACTGGGGAGCTCCAGGAGTCCAATTGGCGAGAAAGAGGAGGGTTTGTGTGAGCGAGAATTGTTGAGACCAAGATTGGAAAAAGCACAGGGACAAAATAGCCCAAACGAATGGAAACACATGAACTATGAACCAATAGCTGAGGGGCCCCCAGATGGATCAGGCCCTCTGGATAAGTGAGACAGTTGATTAGCTTGAACTGTTTGGGAGGCATCCAGGCAGTAGGACCGGGACCTGTCCTCAGTGCATGAGCTGGCTTGTTTGGAAACCTGGGGCCTATGCAGGGACACTTTACTCAACCTGGGAGGAGGGGACTGGACCTGCTTAGACTGAATCTACCAGGTTGAACTCAATCCCCAGGGGAGTCTTGACCCTGGAGGAGATGGGAATGGGGGGTGGGGCTGGAGGGAAGGCGGGAGGGGGGGAGGGGGGAGGGGACAAGGGAATCCGTAGCTGATATGTAAAATTAAATTAAATTATAAAATAATAAAAAAAGAAACTGGGGGATCAGAGGGCTCCTGCTGGCATTTTCCTTTTCTTTTCTTTTCTTTTTTTTTTTTTAAACTTCTTCGATTTTGTTAAGTGCATGGAGTTATGTCCAGGAGGGCAGATATCTAGTCAAAAAACACTTTTTACTTCATTGGTTTTTACTAGTGAGCCATTTTTCCCTCACAGCAGCAGTGAGGAACCTTGAAAAGAAAAATCTAGAAACACACACTTCTGATGTTCTTTAAAACAAACTGTGGAGTACTAGAAGTCTATAAGAATCCAGACGGACAGACTTGATTGGCATGCAGCTCCGTTTGAGTCTTTTGCACTGAGTGTCAGTTTTTGTCAGTGAAACAGGGTGGGTGCAGGGGCAGTTCTCAAACTTGAGCAGATAGAGAAATCACCTTGGAAATGGGGCAAAATCAAGAGTTCAGTAGCCCCCCCAGTTCCAATTTGGTCAGTCCATGCTGAAATGCAGGGATCTCTGTTCTAAGCACATCTCTCAAAGATTTAGATAGTGGTGGTTGAGGACCACACACGTGGTTCTCAAGAGCATCTTAGTTGGTCCACCAAGAAAAACAATGAAAAGAAACATGAAAGAGAGACAGACAGACAGACAGAAAACAAGCAAGGCCAAATCAAAGGATTAGTTTCTAAAACAAAACCTTAGAGAAGGGGATTTGTAAAAACACCAGTGAGCATGAGGTTGCTTAACTCATTTGATAGGTCATAATTTCTCCACTCACATAACTATTCATAGTTACAAAAGTCAGGGAAAGTAGGTTCACTGGCAGAGGCAGATGGGCATGGGGCAGAGGGGCAGAGACAGGCAGAGGGGCAGGGGAAGGGGTGGTGGGTAGGGGAACAGAGACAGGCAAAGGGGCAGAGGGATGGGGGCAGAAGCGGAGGGGCAGACAGTTTACCACTTTATGGGCAGGTCATGTGGGTAGCTTTTCCTATCATTATCGGGATAGTCAACTCTTTGTCTAGGTGGCACCAGATGAAACAGTTGGGTTAGGATTGAGAGTTATTATCTCTCTGCATCTATTTATCTATGTAGATATCAGGACTACTTTAAGGTTTTTTGGTGTGGTTTTTTTTGCTTTTTTTTGCATTTTATGTGTGTATAAAGCTGAATGTTCATAAGCCAAAAGCCTGTGTAATGGGAGATCTGTATAACAATGTAAATAAATGTATTTGTTTTTCAGGAGGAAGAAAACAGAATTTAGACCCCCGATTCTTACTAACCAAACAGGACTTTTTATCCAATTTTGATGCTCTTAAGAAAGTAAGTTAGGTTTGGTTATCTTAAATTAGGGAAAAGTGGGTTTTTGATCCCCAGAATAGAAGACTAGTCAGTCCCCAGCCCTTTTCTTGAACAGACACACAGAAGGGATATTTCTATATCTATATCTATAGGTGTACAGTTAATAGATAAGAACTATTTGAGAGAATATATGGATATTCATAGCCAAAGTGATAATGTACACCATTCTATCTTCCGCTGGTTTATATTGCTTGGCTATCACTCTCTGTCAGTAGATGTAGAGAAATGAAAATGTAGTAACAATTCTTTGTCATTGAACAAATGAAGTTTCTTTTTAAAAAAATTTCCATGTAACTTTTTTTTTCAGAAGAATCATGTTTTAAGCTATAAATTGCATCCTCTGGAAGATGGTGGAACTGATAACCCGCCTTCAACCACATTGAACCAAACTCCACAGATCACAGTGGCAAGATCAATGGGACGCGCTTGTGAAGTAGTCCAGAGCTAGAGACTATGTCATGCCTGTCTTTTTTTTTTTTAAATATGTTTTAGGATAATTGGATCAGATCATTTTTTCTAACCCTATCATAGGTGTTTTGGAAGATTTATTTTTGTTAAAGCTAAGTCTCAACTTGGTTTTCTTTCTACACTAATTTATTGATGCTACACTAGAGTTAAGAGTTTCAACATCAGCATATTTCAGTAGAGCTACAGTTGTGAATGTTATGACCACATACATGTCTGAAAGGCAGATATAGACATACACATATGATACTTGATCAAAGGCATATTCTTACACTTGGACATTATTGAAAATATTTTCCATGCCTTTGGTACTAGTATATAAATTCTGGGATATTTAACTAGAATCATAAATCCTGGAAAGAGATTTCTTGCCTCCCCTACCTGGTCTGTTTCTAGGCAGCAGTGAAATGAGGAGGAATAGAGCATATCTGTGATCTTTACTTCCGGATCAGCCCATGGTGTAACTTTACTGCTGATTCTGCCTCTGGAATGGAGTAAACAAAAGGATCCCGCCTAGGACACAATAGGGATGCAAGGATCAAGATCTTCTACAATACATTCTTGTGCCTGTTTTAATTCCCCTCCCCCCCCCCCCCGAGATCCCTGGCTATTGGCCAATTACATTGCCAATCATAGACTATAGATTATAGACCACTGGCTGTAGACTACAGACTATAGTTCTTGTCATCATTCTTAGTTTTTGTCCCAACAATCTTGCTTTTGTTGGGCACATTGTCCAGGCTTAACTGTTCCAGTTTCCTGGGCTTATATATGTCTTGAGACAACCAATATGAATCATGTCACCTCTGTTCCTCACCCACCAGGTCCCAGCCTATAAATTATATATGCCCACTCACCTGATATTGACTAATGCATACTTCATAAAGATTTGGTGACTCAAGAACATTGTATATTTAAAAATGGCAAAGTTCCATGGGGTCAGATAATTGTTTTTAGTGCTATTAAGTTGAACTACTAATTCATATATTTAAAGAGCTAAATTTCATAGGTAAATACAACTTTTCTTTTCACCTGTTCCAGACTTATTACATGCATGTTTTGTTCTATCTTCTAAGATTTCAAGCTGTAGTCTCAACGTTCTTAGCCATTTATTTGGCTGTGTTCATAGCTACAACTTGCATTATGGAATTTCATCAATAACTTATTTTTCTATAATACCACATTAGATATTGTTTAAAAGAGTAATAAAGTTTTCACATTTTTAAAAGAGAAATATTGACATTTTAAAAATAATTTATAATTTTATACATACTTCTTGGTCTGTCATATTTAGATAGCCATGCTTTGTACATTTAAAGGTTGTTCACTGACATTGAAAACTAAAATGTTAAAAAATACTAGCATTTATCTGAAGCAAAGAGATTTATATACCATTTAAATCAACTATGTATCCGTGTATTTCTTATGTATAATAGATATATTTTTGATCACCATATTTGTAAACAAAAATCAAGTTTTGTGACTCTTTCTTGCAGTATTTAATGAGCAGGGTCATATAATCTTATATGTAGACTTTTATAACTCTGATTTGAGGTACAGTTATTTATCAGATGATTCTGAATGACTATGTATTCAGGTTTAGCAATGAGACTCAGGTTCCTTGAATCACTTTTTCTTTGGTTTGATTGCCCAGAGATTGTGCAATGTGTTCTTCTTGAGAAATGATATTCCAGACGGTTTTGTCAACTTCCTGTAAAACAAAGCAGATCTCTGTGGCATTTGGAAATACCAGTGTTTTGCTTTTGCAAACACACAGGAGTGCGGGATGGAAGTCTTAAAGTAAAATGAGGGTGTTGTTACCTAAATAACGCTTGTTTAAAGTAATTTTAAAATTTGAGGCAAATCAAATATGGGTGAGATGTCAGAATATTATAACATAATGTAAATCATCTTTTCTAAGTTTTATTGAATCACAGACACTTTAAAGGAAGAAAAAACATGCAAGTTGTCCGTCAGTATCTTTTGCTGCTGACAAATATGTGTTTGAATTTGCCCTCAATTCCATTTAAGGATGGTATAAGCATTAGACTTTCGACCTCACAGAAATAGTGTGAGTGTGAAGGAGTAGAGCTTTGACAGAATAGGACTTTATTAATTCAAATAATTTGAGGCAAAAGCAGTTTGCTAGTTTATTTTCTTTTTTGAACTAAGAAGAATTTGTACTATCATGATGTAGAGAAAAAACCTTCTCTAAAAATATGTGTGCCACAGGAATAAGACACATTTGAGGATCAGTGGGATGATTCCAACAGAAAGAATATAAACCTTAAATAAAGACATAGCTCAGTCCTGTTCATTCTATATAGAGATGAAAACCCTAGAGGTAAGATGTAAAACAGCACAGATTCGTGTTTACCAATACGATGAATTGTTTGCATGTTCCTTTTTTTTTTCCCCCTCTCTTGAGATTAATAGTTACTAGCAGGGGCCATTGTGCACCTTTGGCGACATGTGGAGGAATTTCAGTGGTCACAATGAGGGGAGAATGGCAGTCACATAGGGAGTTAAATTGGGGAACACTGCTTAAAGTCCCATGGGATCTGGCAGCTTTCCTTCCCCAACCAAAAAAAAACCAGTCTGCTGAAGATACTAATAGTGTGTGTAGTTTGGGAAACCATGGACTCTAATGCTGATGCTTTTTAGATGTCAACAACCTAATGTTTCTATCTGAAAATACCATTAGCTTGCAGAACATTGTGATGCTGAGTAATGCCAAGACATTTTCACAATTAGGGGGTTCTTAGTCCAGTCTTAGGCCAGTTCAGCTCCTCCACATGGTTTCTAATCCAGCAACACATTAGGATGATATGAAATACATGGCTGTTAAGATCTCCTAATTTCATTTCATTGATGACAAGCACGGGGAATGTAATTCGTTTCATTAAGTGAGCATATGATGTAGACTCATGGGTCAGAGTGGAGGTTGAGGCAGAGTGAACAATCCTGAATTTATTCCTACAGGAAATTCTGAGTTTCGCCATAGAGTCTTGACAAAGAGTAAACTGAGGAGCAGGGGTTGTGGTTCAGTGGGAAAGCTCTTACTGAATATGCGCAAGACCCTAGGCTTCCCTCTGAGTGTGTGACCATTTAGTTTCTTAAAAAAGCCTTTAATGCATTTAGAGTTAACTTTTGTACCATTGTTTGTGAAGTTCTGGGGAAAGTTGAATATTTCTACATAAAATATGGTTACAAATCTGTAGCTAGAGTTTTCTTGCCTGGCCCACAGTCAGGACAAATCTCTATCACCTGCCAGTCCCACAGCCGCTCAGAACAAATCTCTCTCACCTGCCAGTCCTACAGCCGCTCAGACCTGACCAAGTAAACACAGAGACTTATATTGGTTACAAACTGTATGGCCGTGGCAGGCTTCTTGCTAACTTTTCTTACAGCTTAAATTAATCCATATCTATTAATCTATACCTTGCCACATGGCTCGTGGCTTACTGGCATCTTCACATGCTGTTTGTCATCATGGCGGCTGGCAGTGTCTCTCTGACTCAGCCTTCCACTTCCCAGCTTTATTCTCCTCCTTGTCCCGCCTACACTTCCTGCCTAGCCAATGGCCAATCAGTGTTTTATTTATTGACTAATCAGCAACACATTTGCCATACAGAACATCCCACAGCACAAATCTAATTTTTTCAAATAACTGATTAAAATTTCCATAAAAAATCTTTGTGGTTGTCTGTCCTTGGAACAAGTGTCTGACTGAATAGAACAAATGTTACCTCCTACCTTTATGCAAAGCTATTCCTACCCTATTCACTACATAAAGGACTCTCTCAAACTAAACGCTGGATATAAATCATAAAACTGGAAGCAGATGAGCTTGTACAATTTTGTCATCAAGGACCATTTTATATTTTAATTAATTAACATACTCGAAGGCAGAAATGCTATGGTTTACATGTTGGCTGATTGTACTTCAAACAGCCATGATTGAAAGCTTGGTCCATGGGGTGGTGCACTCAGGAGACACTTGGGTCCCTTGGAAGTGGAATCTAGAGCAGGTCTTCAGGTCATAGGCAGTAATGCCCTCAAAGGTGATTGTTGAATGCCACTCATCACCTCTCCCCAGTCTCTGATCACTTGCTTCTCCTGTGTCCCAGTCATGATGAGCTAGCTTCATCAGAGGCAGGATCCTGCATAGGGCCACTTCAGCTATGCCGTGAGCTCTGAGATCTGCGAGATCAACCAACCTTTCCTTTTCTTAGAGATTAATTGACTTAGGTATTTCATTGTAGTAATATGAAGTTCACTAACATGAAAGGGTACAAAACAGAGTGGACTAGAGATATGATTCACTGGAAGAACCCTTGTCTCGTATGCAAATGATTTGTTCCTGCATACCAATAAACATAAATGAACAACAACAACAAAAGGACCAACTTTTCTGTATCAACTTCAATTTTTAGTTGGTGAAATTTAAAAGTTAGTGTGAATAACTGTTGGTAACAGCAGGATGTCAGACTAGCATCAGAAACACCAAATCTGCAAATTTTCATCTTCTTGAAAAGAGTTTTAAAGTTAAGATTTTTATCTCAAAGTTATAATTTGTAGGATATAAGGTTAAGTGGTCAGTCAAGCTAAAGAAAGGTTTAGGTACAAAAGATGACTGTGGTTATACCCAACTACCCAACTTGGAAAAGTGTTCTGCAAGCAGATGCCAAGTTTCCTGTTTGGCAAGAACCTCTTCTTTGGCCACTTCTGGTCATTTAGTTGAAGCACCCACTTATTCCCTGTCCAGTGACTGGGTGAGCAAAATTCCAATGTTCCTGAGAGGGGAATTCCACGTGACTTTTCACTCTGAAGGTTAGATTAAATCTTTTTGATTTAAATTCATCAAACCAAAGACTATTTGAAAAGTTCCAATTTTTATCATTCACAAGCACTTATTTCCTCATTTTAGAATGGCCTATTTTCCCTTTTATCTTTGTTTTGGGTGAACTCACCCAAAAGAGCACAGAGTATCAGCTGATGGCATTTGCTCAGGATGTTCCCATCCACTTCCGCATGGGCAGATTGCAGATTCCTCTTCCACTTTCCTCTGCTCCCTTTTCGTTCTGACCCACAGCGGCCACTTCACATTCTGTCCTAGAGCTTCAGCTGGTGCCAGTGTCACCTGGAGGAGCTGGGCTGCACTCCCAGTTTCTGATTAGGTAGCACTGGCACAGAGCCTGGGATTTTATGTGTCTCTTGATTTCCTGAGGGTGATGGTGCCTCTGGTCTACAAATCATATACTGAAGATGATGGTTCTAATTCACAGTGACCTCTTTGGAAACTCAGTCTGATGACTCTTGACTCACAAGTTGCTATGTCCTCCTTGTCTGTCTACCAAGGCTCATACCCCTCAGTGGGAGAAGCTTCTCTAGAGAGCTGTCACTTTCCTGTCCATGTTACACTGAGCTCCCATGACGTGTTACATATACAACCCACTCCTCTTGTACAGGCAAGCCACCCTTTGCAATATCTTGAATCTTTGAAACAAACACTTGCTCGGTTGTTAGGATCTAGTAGTGTGTGTATCATTTCCCCCTCTTCCGTTTCCCTGGGTGGTTGTATTTTGTACTTAACCTC